GGGGAGGTTTACATTGGACGTGAGGAAAAATTTCTTTCCTGAAAGAGTGGTTAAACATTGGAACAGGCTGCCCAGGGAAGTGATTGAGTCCCCATCCCTGGAAGTATTTAAAAGACGTGTAGATGAGGCGCTTAGGGACATGGTTTAGTGGGCATGGTGGTGTTGGGTCGACGGTTGGACTTGATGATCTTAGAGGTCTCTTCCAACCTTTATGATTCTATGAATCGCAACCCTTTTAGAGCAATTTCCAGAAGGCAGACACCTAAGTGCTGGGTAGCAAAGGAGAACTGTGCATCCGTGCAACATGACAAATCTCTTCACCCAAGAGTCCTTAGGTTGAGTCAGCGTACCTGAAGAATCCTTCAGCTACAAAGTCCTCCCATCTATTTTATCTTTTTTTGATCTTAGTCTGTATTGCATTTAGAGTTCATTGTTTGAGAACACATGAATAACACTATTTCTCTTCTTCATTAGGTATGAGTGCCATTTTCCCAGGTGCTCTGCAGTTGTCTCCATCAGTGAAGGATTATTTAAAATCAGCCCTGTTTTGGCTTCGCAAGCTTACAAAGCTCCTGTGTTAAAATGGAGGCTCCAATTCGCTCTGGATTTCACAAAAGCAGTATGAAATAGCTCTTTATTCTATTACAATAGCTATGACAAGGTTCGAATGAAGCTGAAAGTAGAGCTTTATTTGGGAGAAGAAAGTAGTGGAAAAGGGAGGAGCTGAAAGCAGCAGCAGTAGAAGGGAAGTCATGCGTGACACTGATCGCAGATGAGGATGACAGACCACTTGGGGAGAATATACCTGCAGATTTACTATCAGAGGGGGTTAATTTTTATATATGTGGTTTTGGAAGAAAATACGCAAGCTTTTTTTTTTTTCTGTGTGGCAAATGTGTGGGTCAAAAGGCGATACGTTGATACTGAATCTGGGCAAGCTAATTCCGTGATCTTCATTCTGGTCCAGTATTCAATTTACAGAAAAAATTAATCTTATTTTTATTCTGCTTTTCACATTTCCAGGATATTTGTAGATCTCTCTGACATATCTACTGATTTTAAAATTAATGGGAGTAATTCCTGCACAGCGTTTCCTGGACTGAGTTATAAGGACAGGTTTTTAAAGGCATTAAGGGAGCTGTTTACATGTTTATAAAAAACCCTCTTCTTCAGTGGCTTACAAAATTTATGTAAAACATAATATGATAAATCAGCCTAATTGTATATCTAAACTCCACATTCTTCAGCCTTTAAAACTGAGTTATGAAATACCTGATTTGAAAACTGCAATGAGTTACTAATTCAAGGCACACAAAAGAAAATGTTTTTGGTTTCATAAGATCTTTAAGATACACGGGAACTATTTGCAAGATGAAATAACCACAAATGGCTGTGAAAGAACTTGCAAAAGAATTTTCCTAGCTAATTGAGATTGGGATTTCAGTATGTTTTCCTAATACTTATCATTGGCAGAAGCCTGCATGTCAGGTTTCTGAATTTAAGAGAACATTTTATAAAACTCTTTTTTTTTTTTTCCCCCCTCATGGAGCTAGTTAGTTAACTACTCTGAGAGGACTTAGGTTCAGTTATAACTATCATAGTTGCTGTCTGATGATGTTCCCTGGTTAAAAGGAAAATGCAAAGGAGATGTTCAAAATAGCATTTCTCATTTTAATTAGTCATCATGCCTTGAAAACTCCAAATGGTTTTGGTTTTCTTTTACATAACAGTTTAATTATTTTTGTGTACTTTGGATTAGATTTTTCTGCTAGTAATTCTGTTGTACATTGAAATTAATGGAGATGCTTTAATTTTTTACTGTTTTGCTGGTTTAACTGACCACAGGATTTGGCCTAACTAGTACACAGAGAAGTAACAAAGGACTGTGTTTATTTTTTTTGCTAAATAAAAGCTGAGGTATTTACTGATCATAAAATAAAAGTCAGTCAAATTCTGGGCAATATACTACATAGTATTATCTAATCCTTACAATTTCTGGAATTATTTTTATCCTTTATCAACAAAACTTACTGCGTCATGTGGGCTTTTCACAGTAATAGCGAAACGTTGCACCCGCTCAAATAAGCCCTTATACAATATTTACGGGGTTTTTTTTTAACTCCTGGTGCGAGTGTGATTGTTTCGTTGTGTTCCATATAATCATTGCAAAGGCCACTGTCTTGAGGCCTGGAGAATTACTTAGCTCAGTAAATGCTAAGTGCAACTGTGTGTTGATTCTTGTCCTGCATGCATTTTGCATCACTAACCCACCCCAAAAGAAGCTGTCTTACTAAATTTTTTAAAAAGATAGCATTTTCCATGCTTATTTGTCCATCAATCAGGGACAAAAATGGCATACCTTTATTTTGAAATAAATACTCTCCCTTGTACCCCCAACGTAGTCTGTATTTGTGAGCCAGAACGAGAAATGCTACAGCATCCAAGGCGTATCAGGAAGAATATCCATATTGAAGTCTGCCCTATTGTAAGCATGAGCAGTGTGTAACCTGAGTCAAGGAAAAGGGCAGTAAAGGTGAAGAACAAGAAGTTACGAAGAGTGGAAGTGATGCCTTCGGTGTAGATTCACAATGCACTGCCAAGGATGTCAAAGGTTTTTCTTTGGGTTGGTTTTTTTGGTTTTTTTTTTTTTTTTAATCAATATAGAAGCTTTCATGGGGGGGGGAACCTGCTTTGGACTTTTCATTAAAATCAGCATGTTTATAGGTTTCTTCTGTGTAATTCTGCTATGAAATAGTTGTGACAGTGGGGCAGGACACTGGTGAGGTGTCCTAGGACAGCTGGAAAGGGATGTTACCCGAGCTGAGGGGACGGTAGCATTGGACGAGGAGCCCCGCGAGGGAGGCCGCAGCAGTGGAAGAGAAGCGTCAGGTGGGCTGTAGCCGTGGGAGGGACAGTCCATGGAGGCCGCAGCAGTGGAAGAAGAGTCCCGCGGGGGCCACAGCAGGCCAGGGGGAGCCCGGCGGGGCGGGCTGGGCTGCGTGAGGCGGCGGGCGCTGGGGTCAGGCCCTTCGGCGGGAGGCGGCTGGCAGCGGGGCCCC